AGGAACTTTTCTAGTGACTGAAAGCTCTAGTGTTTTGTCCACTGCCTTCTTGGCTTTCTGCCTCATCTTGCCTTCTTTCTTTGTTTCTGTTGCTTCTGTTCCCACTGCTTCTGCCTACAGCAACCACTTTTGCGGCTGCACTGCTCCACTATCTCCTCTTCCTGTTACCAGCTCAGACTGTTCCACTATGAGACAAATCAGAAGTAGGCAAAGAAAAGATCATCCAGGAGAAGTCTTTTTTTGGGTCTAATGTTGCAATAACACAGGGGCAGTACAGAGAAATTAACTTCTGGTTGGCTTGAAAAGTGAGATGAACAGCCTGCCTAAGCACCCAGGAGTGTGTGTGCATGGGTGTGATATGCAAATGAAGGACTATATTCATACCAATCATAGCACAGCTTCTAGTATCTGCAATCACTGGCTTCTTGCTGACTTACTGAGATGGTATTTTCTTTCTTATCTTGAGAAAGAATAGCTGAAGGGTCATCTAAAAGTTTGCCCAGGCTTGTTTCCCCTGGGATGCTGCCTTCCAAGGCTGGAACAAGGTTTTTGAAGTAGCTGTGACTGGAATATAGTCTTTTGGAGCAGGAATTGTGGCGGCCCTCAAAATTAAAGTCTTAGAATGTCTCTAAAGTGGATTCAAAACATCCAGGCTTCCATGAGAACACTTAGGCCAATTATCAAAGAAAGGACTGGCAGCTTCCTACTCCAGGCTGCCAGGTATAGGGAAGGATCTGTCCACTACTATCTGTGCTAAAGAGCCCTTAGGAAAAAAAAATTCTCATGCAAAGTTCTAATAATTCTATTATTTATTCTATTTTCATTAATCTTTTGCTAATATGCAGATAAGTGGATGTATTTATCTCTTAAATCTTGTATCACAGACATTATTCCCCTTCTTCATTTCCCAAAACATTATATATATATATATATATATATATATATATATGTATGTATACACACACACACATACATATTGTAAAGATACTGTACAGAGGAGTTATAGTTACATGAGTAAGGTAATGAGTACATTTCCTATGGAGCATTGTTACCCCTTCGTTTTTCCCCTACCATCCCTTCCCTCCCCACCTCCTGACTCCTCCCTCCTCCTTCCCCAAACATTTTATAGACAAAAGAAAAATATATACCTTTTGTTTTGGTCATCATGTCACAGGATTCAGTTGACCAGGTGAGGGTGGGCAGAAAGAGTTCAAGGGATACAGAGGAGATGCAGAGGAGACTTAATTATTAATATAAACAGAGTGAATGTAGGGCAAAAATGCTCTATCCAGAGGGGAGAGCAGTCAGACTCAAGAAGGAGCAATTGTGCTGAGGGTCTCAAGACCTCCAGCTTTTCTGAAGTCTGCAGGCAGGGAGCAGATGAATCCTGAGAAACTAGGTAGGGTGTCCTTAACTTATGAGACTAGGTTATGCTGTCATGGGGGTTGAGGGGAGGATGTCTTCCTTTCTTGGCTTTGGACGGTCAGACCAGAGCTGTCATTTTCTGTGAGCTATGGGTCAGCAAGATGCTGTTGTAGGCCAGAAGTTATTCTACTAAGGTCAGCAGTCCAAGAGGCTATTCCCTATCAGCATCTTGTTCAGCTTTCCTAACTTGCTGCCTACAAGAACTGCCTTTTCTCTTTCTACTTAAAACCTAGATGTGATGATGGGTAAAGATTGTTGAGGTGTAAATAAGTTTTCTGTTGAGCAATATAAATGGCAGGGTAAAGTTAACAGAACAGCCAGCTCTAGACTCTACTTCTAGGTAGGTAGGCGCAGGGTGAACTATGATCTGAATATCAGTGATATTCACTGCCAGTTCATAGGTAAACATCCTACTCCCTAAGGATTAGGCCCTTGACGAACAGTTCTACCAACCCTGTACTCATGGGGCCAGACATGTCTCCTAAAGGAAGTCCAGTACCATTACAAAAAAGGGGGAAATGAAAATGTTATGGTTTGAGTATCCCCTATGGGCTTGTGCATGTATTGGGAATGTGTACTGCCAGTTAATGTGTTTGGGGGAACTGATTGGATTCTGAGGGCTTGACTTGGTCAATTCTTGTTGGATTCATAATTTGATGGCATTATTGGGAGGTTGGGGAAAAGTAGGAAGTGGAGCCTATTTAGAGAAAGCTCACTAAGAGCTTGCTTTTGAAGGATGCATTGGAGACCTGACCTTTTCTATACTTCTGTTTCTGTTTGATGGCAGCCCTGAAGTGAGTAGCTCCTCCCACAACTATACCACTATTGTGCCGCTATGACCACAGTAATGGAGCCAGTGATCACAGACTGAGACTGTGGTTACTTTCCTCTCTTTAAGCTAGTCTGTGGTTACTTTCCTCTCTTTAAGCTAGTCTCTCAACTATTTGTCACAGTGACACAAAGCTGACTGATACAGAAGACCAGCCTAATTGTGCAGTTACCTTGAATAGACTGTGAGAGAAATGGCAGGTGAAAGGTACCTGAAGCGACAAAAGAAAACTACAGGAATAAAATGAAAACAAGAAATCACTCGGTGGTGATTTCAGCCATTTCTAGCATGTTCTATTGAGATGGTACGTGTCTTAAATGATGACATGATGAATGAGGAGGAAGTAGTCAACTTCATAAAAGCTTGCCTTGGTAGAACAAGTTAGTATATAACTTCCTAGTTCAAAGGTTTGCCCTCCTAAATATTTACTGTGAGAATTTCTCTGGCTCCCATCCAATGTGTTGAGATGGCATGTAAGTCATGGTATGGCAAAGCAAGGTGTAGCTAAGGTATTTGGTGTAGACAGGAATTTCTGTCAACATAGATTTGAGAACTGGCGATAGACATGATCACCTTCCAGAAAACCCTGTTGTTCTCCATGATTCTGTTGCTCTACCTATGTTATTGTGTGCTTTTCTCCAAAGTCTATAATTTAAAGGATGAAATGAAGGATGATCTCATATACATTTGTCTTTAAACACCCTCATAATCTCTTCAGATGTTTGGCTATTACTATCCTATGCTACCTCGATGAATAATGGTGGCTCATGCCTATAATCCTAGTAACTTGGCACTGAGATCAGGAAGAGCCTAGCTTCAGGCCAGCCCAGGCAAAACAGTTCTTTGAACCAGTAGATGTGTGCAGTGTTGTACATCTGTCATCCTGGCTATGCGTGGGAAGCCACAGGAGAATTGCAGTGTCAGGTCAGCCCAGGCAGAGAAGTCTGCGAGATTCCAACTCAGCAATAAATAGCTGGGTGTGGTGGCACACATTTGTCATATTAGTTATAAAGGAGAGTGAACAATAGGAGGATGGCAGTCCAAGTGTGTGCTCAGCAGGAAATAAGACCCTATCTCACAAATAACCAATGAATAGAAGGCCTAGAGTGATGGCTCAATGGTAAAACATCAGCCTAGAATGCACAAGGCCCTGAGTTCAAAATGGAGTACTGCCAAGAATAAGAGAAACTATATTTTTTAAGAAAGATTATGAGTGGGAATTTTAAAGTGCTGAATTGTCCTTAGAAGGACCAGAATTGTATGGTTTACTTTTATAATAGAGCACGTACTAGAAAAAGTCCTTTTTTTGATGCAGGAATATGTCTAATTCAAAGAATTTCTGTATCTGGAAATCATTGACTTATTTGAATTATTCTGTTTACACAAGTGTGTTGCCCTACTGCCTGCATTTTAGACTCTCTAATTTTGTGTGTAAGGATGTTAAGCAGGTGAAAATAAGGTGCAGAATGTTAGGCGCATATGCTGTTGCTTTTTGAAAGAGGGAAACCTTGGAACGTTTGCTTGGTTTGGCTTGTATGGGTGTAAAGAAACTGCACAGACTCTCAACTTGGTGAAGGTTGTGGTGTGTACCTACTCAAGAACAGCTCTAACAAGTCCCCTGCTTGCTGCTAGTCTTCATCCTGGGGTGCTCAAGAAATGAAAAACTGGGGCTGGGAAGGTGGCTCAGTGGTAGAGCGCTTGCCTTGCATGCATGAGGCCCTGGGTTTGATTCCTCAGCACCACATAGGCAAAAAGAAAAAAAATCCGGAAGTGGTGCTGTGGCTCAAGTGGTAGAGCGCTAGCCTTGAGCTGAAGAGCTGAGGGACAGCGCCCAGGCCCAGAGTTCAGGCCCCATGACTGGAACTAAAAAAAATAAAAAAATAAAAAAAAGAGATGAAAAACTGAGAAACTAAAACCAATCCTTATTAAGTGAAGTAAGCCAGGCCCAAAGAAATATAGGTCTCATGGTTTCCTTATTTGCAATAACTAGTATATGTCTGAGACAAACAGAAACTGTCAGACAAGTTGGTGTTAGGTGAAACGAACCCCAAGATAAGGATTCAAATGTTTTTTTTCTTTCTTGCTATTGTTTCCAACATATTTATAAGATGATTTCTTTGTTGCTTTGTATGTATCTCTCCCAGGGTATAAGCCCTGCTTTCACTCTATTTGATGTTGGTATAATTTGTGGAGGGGAAGGGAAAAAACAAACTGTTTAAATAGGGATACAGGTGGACCCATTACAACAATGAGATGTACAAGATGTTATGTTGAAAAATGAACTTTACAACTTTGGCGGGGTGTGGGGTTGGGAGGGTGGGGGGTGGTAGGAGGTGTGGGGGTGGGGGGTGGAGAAGGGAAGGGATGGTATGGGGAAAGAAAGGAGGAGGCAACAATGCTTGATAAGAAATGTACTCACTATCTTGCCCATGTAATTGTAACCCCTCTGTATGGTATTTTCACAATAAAACAAAACAACAAAAACCCCCCAAAAATCCTTCCCATGGCTGGGAAAAGATGGGAATGTGATGGCAGGTGATAAGGGTGGAAGCAGATATTTCACTTCCTGTGTTTTGCATTTAAAATGCAAAGTGAATGCATGACTTAAACAAAGCATAAGTGAAATTTGGAAGTTAACTTGATATGCCCCTGGTTTTGTGATTGTTTAGAAAATATTTTAATTCAGAATACTCTACCACAGTCTTAAATGTACTTTTCTGTTTCTTTCTGTGTGTTTGTTCACTAGGCCCTAGAGAGACACACCACCTTTGTTGTACCTTACAATGGAATTTAAAAAGTCACCTGATGGTGGATGGGGCTGGGTGATTGTGGCTGTCTCCTTCTTCACTCAGTTCCTGTGTTATGGCTCCCCACTGGCTGTTGGAGTGTTGTATGTAGAATGGTTGGATGCCTTTGGTGAAGGGAAAGGAAAAACAGCTTGGGTCGGATCTCTGGCAAGTGGAGTTGGATTGCTTGCAAGTAAGTGGAAAAATTTATGTCTATTCATATTCATTTATTATTTAATTACATTTGCTTCATCATTAAACATTGTACAAGACTGAGAAAGCTTTAAACAATTTAAGAACAGTATATATTTTCCTGATGTCATTGGGATTACAGCACCACTGTCTTACTGCAATAAATTGGTATGAAAGAATAGAAATTCTGTAATTGTAGTCAATCATTTTGTTCACTCATTTCTTTTTTTTCTCAAATATTTTTATTAGCATCATGAGTTGCTATCATGTCTGGTTATCATCCTGACACGATATAATGTACCTTAATCAAACTCAGTCCCTTTGTCTTTCTCTCTTATCCTTACCAAATCAATCTCATTAAACTTCATTATTTCATTTTCACACATGTACATGGAGCATTTGGGCCTATCTATGCTCCTTACTCTTTCTATTGCCCCCCTCCACAAGTACTCACAGTCCAGACAAGACCTGGCTTACAATCCTTTGATTAATTAAGTGTATGTTGTCCAGTTTTCACTGTGGTATTTCAAACAAGCAAATTTTGTATTTAATTATATTGACTGCTTCTCAACTTCTCATGTTCCTCATTCCCTACTGCTTCTATTATTCAATAGCAATCAGTGAGTTCCATTTTGTTATCAGTATTTATGGATATGATGTATTTCTGTATTTTTCACCCTCTATCATTCTTTTCTCCTCTGCTTCCAAATTCCTCAGATAGTCTCACAGTTACAAACATATTCTATATATGTGTGTGTATATATCTATGATCCTGTGTGAGTTGACATATACATTTATTCTCAGGTGTAGCATTTATTCATGTACTTACTACTATGTACCAGGTACTATGTAAGATGCTAGAAATGAAAAGATGAATTGAAAGCATATGGTTCCTTCTCTTAAGGGGCGCATTGCCTAGTGAGGAATATATATTCATGATTCATAAACTCAAACAAGTGAGGGAGATGAAGGTAGTGTGGCAGGTATGTCCAAGATATGTGAGTACACAAAGGACTGGATGATACCCCCCTTCCCCCCCGCCCCCCCACAGTCCTGTGAGCTCTTGATGACTCTTCTGATCCAGCTACACTGGGTTCAAATCACATGCCCTGCTTCATTGGAAAAATATGATCTAAAAAGTCATAGTCCTGTCTTACAAAGATAGTACTATTAAGGTTTAGCCTACAGAATTATGTGTAAGAGATATGTGTTTTGGTTTGAGTGTCTTCACAAATAACAATTTGCTAAATGGTTACATATGACACAATGGTGATCTATCATTTTTAGAGAGAACAGCAGAAGATTTTTCATTCCTGTTACCATTATATGTGACTTCAATTTTTGGAGCCATTGTGTTAATTCTATAGTAATATTTAGGTTTCATCTCTAACTTACTTGGTTTGATTTCAGTGCTGATGGGAGCTGTAGACCCAGATTCTCGTCCCGTGTGCTGTGAACTTGTCTTGACTCCTTGAGCAAATCATAATTACTATTCTTTTGTTGTTTTGAGTTCTTTTGGCAGTGCTGAGAATCAAACCCAGGGCCCTATACATGCTGGATGAATGCTCTTTTTTTTGGGGGGGGTCCGGTCATGGGGCCTGAACTCTGGGCCTGGGTGCTGTCCCTCAGCTCTTCAGCTCAAGGCTAGCACTCTACCACTTGAGCCACAGTGCCACTTCCAGCTTTTTTCTTATGTGGTGCTAAGGAATTGAACCCAGGGCCTCCAGCATGCAAGGCAAGTGCTCTACCACTGAGCCACCTTCCCAGCCCTGGACGAATGCTCTATTACTCAGCGATAGCCCCAGTGCTTGCTTTTTGAGACAGGGTCTCACCATGTAGTCCTGCCTGGCCTCAACCTCCTGATTACTAGGTTACAAGCATGAGTTACCATATTCACCTAGTGGAGAAAATAGGAATATCAAATGTGGTTTTTCTAAGGGTTTTCTGCTTAAAACAAAGTACAATAGCATTCTTCTTTTAAATATAATATTTCTTGGATATTTAAATAAAAAATAATTGCATCTAGTTCTTGTACTGTTTTGTCAAATTAAAAACAAGACACACAGGACATGAAAAACAATGCCAGAGCAGCTGGCCATGCCAAATAAGAGAACTAAGCATAACTAAACGAATGAAACCACAGTGCTATATTGCCCAAGATTTATTTGAGACAGTTTTTTAAACTAGGGATTGTTTACAAAGCTCTCAAAGTACAAGTAAATGTTAATTTGATATGTCTGTAAAGGAACTAAAAGTACACTTCTGCTTTCTAGAAACCAACCCATAGAGAGGAATTTTTTTGTGTGTATGTGTGCCAGTCCTTGGGCTTCAGCTAAAAGCGTGGGTATTATCACTGAGGTTTTTTTTTGCTCAAAGTTATAGCTTTACCCTTTGAGCTACAGCTCCATTTATAGCTTTTTTTTTTTTTTTGATGATGGTGAATTGAAGATAAGAGTTGCATGGACTTTCTTGCCCAGGCTGGCTTTGAACTATGATCCTTTTAGCTAAGATTACAGACCTGGGCCATTAGTGCCTGGCTGTGGAGAGGAATTTTGGAAACATTTCTAACTCACCATTTCTGTTAGCATAGACTTAAATAGAAATGCAATTCCCCTCCCTCCCCACAAGGGCCAAAGATATTGAAATGATGTCTCACTTTGTATATCCTTAGGGAACAAGACTTCATCTGTCTATCAAGTAGTTGATATCAGGGTTAACGGTAATGGGGAATGAGAAATTTGTGTCAGAGCTGGGGCTGACCGTCCCTTAGAAATTGACCTGTAGCTCTATACTTTTGTCACATTTCTAGGTGGGTAATCATGTCTTGAAGGCCAGGGGAAGCCACCTTCCTTTTTAAGCAGGATTGGTTACAAAATTTGTAGGACAAGTGCAAAACAAAATGCAAGATCCCTAAAAAAATTAAGACTTTCAAGATAGGGATAGCAGAGCATTAAACCAAGAGTGAGAGCCTTCTAAGATCTGGACCCTGTACAACTACTTAGATCACAAATCCAAGGAAGAGAAAAAAGGAGGGAGAGAGAGAAAGAGAGAGGGAAGGAAGGAAGGAAAGAAGGAAGAGAGAAAAAGAGAGAAAGAGAGAGAGAGAAAGAAAGAAAGAGAGAAAGAAAGAAAGAGAGAAAGAAAGAAAAAAAGAAAGAAAGAAAGAGAAAAGAAGGAAAGAAGGAAGGAAGGAAGGAAGGAAGAAAGAAAGATGGTTTGTAGGGGCTAGAGAGATGGCAAGTCATACCAAAATTTAGGAGATAATAAGTACTCCAAAGAGCTTGTAGTGAAGTCAGGCTAAGTCAAGTCCTAGTTCTGCCACAATTTAGCTAGATGATCTCATGCAAGTTGCTTAACTTTTCTAGGTCCGATATCATCTACTAGTCTGAAGAGGACCTTGGATCTGGTCAAAGAGCTAAGACTTGTAGAAGAGCATGTGTACTTGCATGCACATACACACTTCAGACACTGAGTTCAGTTGTAAACATAACTGACTCTACTGGACATACTCAATGCTGGTCTTCTTTATTTATTTCTACTTATAAATTAGAAGTTATCTTGAATATTGTGGTTGTATTGTATTAGCAAGCAGCATATAAACAGTATGTGAGCCACTCTGATCATCCACTTTCAAGACAACTCTGTTCTGGAGAAACAAGATCAATAATACTGTTGACACCGGAGAAGACTGGGACAAGCTTAAAGATAGAGACCAGATGGAGACCTGTTCTTAGTGTTTCAGTTCTTATCAATGAGACAAAGAGTACCTGCTGCCACTGAGCAATACCTTCAGCATCAGGATTTTTTTTATTTTTTATTTTTTGTCAGTCATGGGGCCTGAACTCTGGGCCTAGGCACTGCCCCTCAGCTCTTCAGCTCAAGGCTAGCACTCTACTACTTGAGCCACAGCGCCACTTCGGCTTTTTCTGCTTATATGGTGCTGAAGAATCGAACCCAAGGCCTCATGAATGCAAGGCAAGCACTCTACCACTGAACCACCTTCTCAGCCCAGCATCAGGATTTTATTCCCCTCCTAAAGTCTCAAAGAGATTTTTCATTGGAAACTGTCACTGGTTTAAGCTTTTTATTTTTCTTTCTTTATTTATATTTGTCGGTCATAGGACTTAAACTCTGGGCCTGAGCTCTGTCTCTCAGCTCTTCAGTTCAAGGTGAATGCTCTACCACTTGACCCACAGTGCCACTTCAGGTTTTCTGGTAGTTTATTGGAGATAAGAGTTTTACAGACTTTCTGCCTGGGCTGGCTTTGAACCATGATCCTCCTCAGATCTCAGCCTCTGAGTAGCTAGAACTACAGGCATGAGCCACCAGTGCCTGGCTTAAGCTTTTTCTTTCTTTTTTTTTTCTTGTCCGTTGTGGGGCTTGAACTCTGGGCCTGGGCGCTGTCCTTCAGCTCTTCAGCTCAAGGTGAGCGCTCTACCACTTGAGCTACAGCGCCACTTCTGGTTTTCTGGTGGTTTATTGGAGATAGGAGTCTCACGGTCTCTCCTGCCCGGGCTGGCTTTGAACTGTGATCCTCAGATCTCAGCCTCCTGAGTAGCTAGGATTACAGGTGTGATCCACCAGAGCCCGGCTGGCTTAAGCTTTTTCTATTTAGATTTCACTTTTGCATGCTTTGGATAACTCTCAGACACATCATTTGTTAGTTATTATGATTAGGCTGGCAAAGGGCAGTCCTGAAAGGGAAGGGCTGGATGTGGTCTTAGTCTCTAAGCAGTTTAGGGGAAGAAGTTCATTAAAAGAAGGTCAGCAGAGGTTAACAAGGTTTTAGAGATCAAACCGCACCCTCGGGTGGGTGTGTTTGCCATCAATGGGCGTGCCTGAGAGCTGATGAACTATGGCCTCCCCATGCCATGTTAAGCACTCCAAACCAGAGCTACCTCATTTTGTTTTTCCTTTGCAGATTTTATAGAGACAGTCTGAGGTGGGCCAGACAGGAGATTAGACTGCAGGTGGATAGGCAGAGAGGACAGTACATGCAGAATCCCTGAAAGCAAAGACCGAGAGCACACACTTCAGGGGGAGTGATCCTTCTGGTGGAGAAGACAGCTTTTATTCATCAACTTGAGTAGGCTGTGTTCCCTGGTTATGCAATCTAATCTAGGTATTGCTGTGAAGGTATTTCATAGATGTGAACAAGGTCAGCAACTAGTTAACTTTTAGAAAGGGAGTTTATCCTGGATAATCTGGTTGGATTTGACTCAATCTATTGCAAGGTTGTAAGAGAAGAAATGAGCTGTCTCAGAGGAAGAAATTCTATCCAAAACCTGCAGCTTCAGCTTTTACCTGAGAGTCCCAACTTGCCCTTCCTGATGGCCTGCCCTATAGACCTTGGACTTGCCTAGCTAGGCAGGTTTCACCTGGCCTGTCGCCTAAGCCAATTCCTTGCAATAAATCTCTTATATGTTTCCTGTTGTTTTTGTTTCTTAGGAGAAATGGAAGGGAACTGAACTAGAGGACTACCTTGGTTTTGTGGTATTTTAAGATAAGCCTGAACACCTTTTCACTTCAAATTCAAAGACAAGGATAGGGTAACTTTTCAGACAATCTAGTAGCTGAAACAAAAGGGACTTCCTTCCTTCCTTTCTTTCTCTTTCCTTTCTTCCTTTCCTTCCTTCTTTCTTTCTTTCCTTTCTTTCTCTCTCTTTCCTTCCTTCCTTTCCTTACTTCTTTCTTTCTCTCCTTCCTTCCTTTCCTGCCTTCTTTCTTTTTTCTTTCTTTCTCTCTTTCCTTCCTTCCTTCTTTCTTTCCTTTCTTTCTTTTTTCTTTCTTTCTTTCCTTCCTTCCTTCTTTCCTTCCTTCCTTCCTTCCTTTCTTTCTTTCTTTCTTTCTTTCTTTCTTTCTTTCTTTCTTTCTTTCTTTCTTTCTCTCTCTCTTTTTTTCTTTCTTTCCTCCCTTCCTCCCTCTCTGTATGTCTGTCTATCTTTCTTTCTGTCTTTTTTTTGTCATTCTGTAGTTTTGTAGTCAAGAGAGATTTAACTGTCTCTCCACCTCCATTCTTCCAGCCTTCAGATTGCTCATATGAGCCAGTAAACTTATTCCCAGGTAAATAAGATGAGTTTGTATGGCCAACCTCATTGTTGAGGGTTGTGAGTGCCAGTGGAGCTGGGCTTCAGCATTACCTGAAGCACTGTTCACTCGTTCAGGAGTGAACAGTGAATTGATGCCCATGGGATTCATCACATTGGCCAGTTTCCTGTACACCAGGCAGTTCCAGGACTGGTGAGAACAAGGGATATCTGGTTTTTCTATATCAATATCACCAAACCAAGCCATCAGTAAGAAACTCAATCACAATAAGGATTTGAGTGAGTGCCTTTTTCTTTCTCACATTAATGTACTTGAGATTCATGATGTCTACTAACTCAAGACAGGAGGAACTGAACAGCCTGGAGGAGGCCACGCGGTGGGATTCCTTCATGAGAACTGGGGGGATAGTGGTCTCAGGGGCTTGATTGCCTCTGTCAGGAAATCCTCATTTGTGGCAGGTCCACAACCTGGTTGCCATTGTGCCTATCATACCATACACCAATTTATGGCTTTAATGCAGCAGATGTTGCCAGGCTTGTGATCTTGGATCTCTCTTAAACTTCCACTTCTGGCTTTTTCTGAGTAGTTTATTGGAGATCAGAGTCTTTCTTGCCCTGGCTGGCTTTGAACCATGATCCTCAGATCTCAGCCTCCTGAGTAGCTAAAATTACAGGTGTGAGCCACCAGCACCCAGCTTTTCTTAAATGTTCGTGAGAAATGTAAAGAGGTTACACTTTTTCCCCCCAAAGATAATAATTTCTTTCTCAACGCTACCTGTTTTGAGATGTCCCCTTCAGGCTCATGTGCCAAGGGCTTGATCGACAACTGGTGGCACTGTTTGGGAAACTTTGACAGGTGAGGCCTAGCTAGAGGGTAAAGGTCACAGCCTTTGAGAACTGGGAGGTTCTACCAATGAAGCACGAGTACTTGTATACTCTTGACTAAAGATGTCCCTTTCTTATGTAGGAAGGTCACCTTGTACAACTGAACAAACAGCACAGGGAGGAACATACACTGAGTAGTAATGGACGAAGGGGGTACCTGTCTAACCAGCCAGATCAGCTGAAGCTATCTGGCTGATCAATGAAGTGACAAATGTACCCAGATCATCCTCACATCCTGTAGGGCATGCTTTGAAAGGTGTCTTGTCCTAGGCCTCTTCCTTTCTCTACTTCCTGGGAACCATGGGAAACACACCCTTCTACCATGATGTTCTGTCTTGCCACAGGCCCAGTGTGTTTTGGTTCTTTTGTCAAAAATCATGACTGTAGTGGACTGAGTATATTTTTGGGGCTCTTATTCAATTCTGTTGATCTTTATGTCTGCTTTTGTGCCAATATCATGCTGTTTTTGTTACTATGGCTATATAGTACAATTTGAAATCCAGTATTGTGATACTTCCAGCATTTGCTCTTTGGCTTGAGGTTAAAGTTTGCAATTTGGGATCTTTTATGCTTTCCTATGAATTTTAGGATTGATTTTTTTTCTATTTCTGGAAAGAATGACGTTGGGACTTCGATGAGCACTGCATTGTGTCTATAGATTGCTTTCAGTGGTGTAGCCATTTCCACAGTATTAATTATGTTACTCCATGAACGTGGGAGGCATTTCTGTATTCTGTCTTCCTTTCATTTTTTTTCCCCTCAGATTTTATAACACTCGTGATAGAGGTCTTTCACCTTTGATATAGATATGAGTGCCTACATAGGAAAAAAACCCAAAACCCAGAGTGGTCTCAAATACATAGTCAATGTATGCCAAAACTCTTAGAAAACTAAGAACAAACCAAACCCCAAAGTAGCAGATGGAAAGAAATGATACAGCTTATAACAGAAATGATTAAAATGGAGACTAAAAAACTGCCAAGAATCAATGAAGCATAAAGTTTGTCCTCTGTGAAGATGAGTAAGATTAGGAAATATGTTCAATGTGACCAAAAAGAGGAAGGAAAAGACCCAAATTAATACTTAGAAATTAAAAATAAGTATCTATGAAATCCAGAGAATCATGAAATAATAATTGGAAAACCTACTCCAAATAAATTGGAAAATCAAGAAGTAATGAATACATTTCTAGATGAATTTGACCTGCCAAAATTGAATCAAATATGAGCTACTTAAACTGATCTTTAACAACCAATGAGACAGAAACAATAATAAAGAATCTCCCAACAGTGAAAAGCACAGGACTTGGTGACAAGCACCGGACTTGGTGGAGTCATTGCAAATCCTGCCAGACTTGTAAAGAAAAAACACCAACTAAACACCAACACTCCTTAAACTTCTCCAGGAGAAGGGACGAGAAAGAACAGCTGGGTACTGTGGCATAAGTCTGTAATTCTAGTTACTGGGGAGAGGGAGATTAGGAGACCGTGGTTCTAAGTCACCCCTGGCAAAAAGAAGTTCCTAAGATTTCATTTCAATCATTGGCTGGGTGTAGTAGTATATGTCTGACACAGGGAAGTTTCATTTCTTCACTAAATGATTTTGCCATCCCTTAATTTCCTTTCAAAAACTTGATAGTAATAATAGTGCCTACCTTCCATCAGTACAGTAAAAGTAAAACAAAGTGAGGCTGGGCATGTGGCTCAGGCCTGTAATCTTAACAACCTAGGCACCTAAGAGCTGAGGATTTTGGTTCAAATCCAATCCAGGCCGTAAAGTCTGTGAGACTTATCTCCAACTAACCACCAAAAAGCTAGAAGTAGAACTGTGGCTCAAGTCGTACAGTGCTAGCTTTGAGCAAAAAAAAATGCTCAAGGACAATTCCCAGGCCCTGAGTTTGAGCCCTATGAAAAGCAACTTTAAGTAAGATTACGAATATGAAGTCCTTGCATACTATCTAACACAAAATAAGTACTCGGATTTGCTCATGTTTATTTTGTCATGATGTTTTGGTAGACATATAATTTTAAAAGTACAATGGATGGTTCATGAGATTGTGGGGAAAGGTGTTGAATATTCTATTTATTCGATTCCTTTTTAGGTCCAGTCTGTAGTGTCTGTGTCTCATCCTTCGGAGCAAGACCTGTTACAATCTTCAGTGGCTTCATGGTGGCTGGAGGCTTGATGCTGAGCAGTTTTGCCCCTAATATCTACTTCCTGTTCTTTTCCTATGGCATTGTTGTAGGTAAGGAACTTGGTCACTTTAACTTTTCTATTCATTTTACCATATCAACCTTATTTTTCAGTTGCCATAAGAAGTGGAAATGATTTGTCATAACTGACTTTGCTAAAAAGTGTCGCTTTAGTACTAAGCCTGCCTGAATTTGAATATTTGAAACGTAAGCACATTTTAACAGTCAGCACTAATTCTCCTTCAAGGCAACAGGAAGTGTTTTCATCTCAGCACTTGGCTCTTCAAAACACAGTAAAGGAAAATGAGAGAGGAGAAACAAAACCTAGATAATCATGGACAACTGTCACTTTTCATAGAAAGTGGCTCCGCAGGAGGTGGTGCCACACTTACCTAGCAAGCAGTAGGCCTTGAGTTCAGACTCCAGTACCTCTACACACACACACACTCACACACACACACATACACACACACACACACACGAAGTGACTCTTTTCCTACGAGGCAATCAAGCAAGCACTAGGCCTGGAGTTCAGACTCCAGTACCTCTACACACACACACACACACACACACACACACACGCACACACACACACAGACACACACAGAGGAAGTGACTCTTTTCCTACGAGGCAATCAAACGACACTCTGTTGAGCCATTTGTATTCACAAATAGCTTTTAGAGTTGCCAGGGCCCAGTCAAAAGTTATAGTAGTAAAAAGTAGAATTTAGCCAAACATTCTGATATGTGTCTCTACTGATACTTCTTTAGAATCTGGGGAGGAAAATAGATGGTTCCAGGACAGCCTGGGCTACAAATCAAGAACCTGTCTTTAAAAAAAAATGCAGATTTTGGACTGGGAAGGTGGCTCAGTGGTAGAGCGCTTGCCTTGCATGCTCGAGGCCCTGGGTTCGATTCCTCAGCACCACATAAGCAAAAAGAAAAAAGCCAGAA